ACAATCGCAAAATTAGTTTTATAATACAAATAATCCATGGTATCTTATTGTTAGACTATTAATTGATAAATAAAACAACTAATAGTAAAATATTCAAAATTAATTATTTTAGAATTTATTTACAATTTTTTTTTTTTTTTTTTTTTAACTTTTCTTTTGGTGGTGGGGGCCTTTTTGTTGGTGGGGGCCCATAGGCAGTGCCTAGTTTGCCTATGCGTTAGTCCGGCACTGGGAACTATATTGTATAAATCTTTACTAACGTTGTTAAGATTGACTCTCAATTGTCGAAGATTTTTGTAACAACCATTGATTTCTAATTTAAGTATTTTCTTTTGCAAATTGTCAATTGTGTAATTAAGTTTTGTTTGATTTTTGTTATCTAAGAATTTAGGGCATATTTTTCTAATATTAAAAATATGTTTCGGGACAATATTAATTTTTTGGCAAGATCTAAGATAATTCTTCTGCGAAGAAACTGTGATGATGCGGAATTGAAGCTTTATCCAATCCTTCATTAAGTATTTAGCAGTTATACCAAAGAATGTTTCGATGTAATTGAAGAATCCTTTAGTTGTTGATGTTCTAAGATGTGTTGACATTTGTCTCGCTTTTTACAGCCAGCGGTAAATAAATAAAGTGAAGAAATAAGGAGTCACCTCAGACTCTCTTTCAAAATTAAAATATCCGTTACACTTCTTAGCTATGTAGAGTCTATGCAGGATGTTGTGCAATGAATAGTACAGCATTAATGTTTCAAAACGGTTCGACTTTATTTTTAAGTCCTTATCAATCGATTCTATTAACATAAATTACAATCAGTAAAATTCACAAAAGAATTATCAAATATTTAACATATTTATGATGTCATACCTTATTTCAAAAGAAAAAACCATTAAGTATGTCAACAAAATTATTGAAAAAACGTAAAAAATTGTGAAAATTTGAGTATCAATAAAACGTTCTGCTTGAACAAAGTACAAATTGACACTAGTTCTGAGAGCANTAAGTCAAAATCAACGATCGACACAAAGCCCTCTACATTTAACTTTATCAAGTACCGGTATATATGTATCGTGTAACGACTCAGTGTCTCTCATTAAATTCAAACCTCTCTCCTGTTTCTTTTTGAATAGCATTTCTGAAGTTTGTCGTTTATAATAGTTTTTTTCTTTGTCTAATACTTTAACGGTGTTCCAATCAAAATTGTGTCCAGTTTTAATATAGTGTTTAGCAGTCACCGATGTTTCAATTTGTCCAGTCTTAATATAATGCATATGTTCTTTTATTCTAGTTTTGAGTTAACGCTTAGTTTGTCCAACATATGAAGATTTACAATGTTGGCATGAGATGTGATAAACTACATTTCTTTGATTGTTACTTGGAACCAAATCTTTGTGTGTTTTTATGAATTTGGACAACTGATTTAAATTACGATATGCTAGTTTAATGATTTCATTGTTAACTTTGATGTGGTCGAACTTTAAATTATAGTCATGAATATACGGTAAAACGAAAAACAGTTTAGCAGTCTCATCTTCATCTTGTAGTGTTTCTATAATATGTTTGTTTAATTTGCTAGTAAACAATGTCCACAATCTACTATTAATTGTATTAAAAATTAACCGTATAAGGTAATTGTTATCAATTAGGATGTTAATTACGGAATTTAAATTTTTATTATGAAATTTTGGATGTGAAAGTAAACTGGCTCTATCCACTAATGAGTAAATAGTGCCTATTTTATGACTGATAGAATTCATTGAATGGTAATTTAAATATCGTCCAGAATAAGTTGGTTTGTGGAACCAATCACAAATCAACTTATTCTCATCAATTATGATTTTAATATCAAGGAAACTGAGGGCATTGTCCTTTTGCAATTCACAAGTAAATTGCAATCTTTGATGGAACGAGTTGAATGTGCTCACTACCAAATCAATTTGATCTTTAGGTAGTGACATAACAATATCATCGACGTATCTAAAATATATAGGAATATTGAACTTAAGTGTGTTTAAGGCTTTTAGTTCGAGGTCCTGTAAACCTATGTCAGCTATAATTGGTGAAATGGGAGAGCCCATTAGAGTACCAAAGGTCTGTTTATATACTTTGTCATTGAAAGTAAAATACGTCGACGTTAATGTAATCTGTATAGCCAATACAAACTCTTCTTTACTAATTTTTGTATGTAAGCAAATGAATTTCCATCTAGCAGAAATGCTCTCAATAACGAGTTCAACTGGAACATTAGTAAATAAGGAAACCGCATCAAGTGAACAAAGAAGATAATCACTATTCCAATTCATTCCGTCGACAACATTGTTCAATTGAAAACTATTTCTAACAAAAAACGGAGAATTAGGAATACCTTTAAAAATAAGTTTGTGTAAATAAACAGCAAAATTATGCAAGGGACCATTAATGGTGGAAACAATTATTCTATAAAGGCAACTTTCTTTGTGTATTTTTGGAATGCCATATGCTCTTGGTAGTAGACCATCACTTGAGTTTAATTGAAATTTAATGTGTTTGTCGATGAAACCTTTGTTGTGCCATCGATTCAATATATCTTTTAACTGTTTTTCAATTTTTTGAATAGGATTGTGATCAATTGTTAAATAAGTATCTTTATCTGATAACATTGGATTAATTTTGTTTATGTACTCATTCCTATTAATCGCAACAGTGATGTTTCCTTTATCAGCCATGGTAAATAAAACGTCAGGATTATTTTTGATAAAATTATTAGTGGCTTTTGCTTTATACATCAAACTTTTCTCAAACTGAGTTAATGGTTTGGTATAAAGTAAGAAATTATTTAAATGGGTTGAGATTTTATTACGTATGTTATTTTTTGATAATGTATCTAATCTCCTAATGTTATTCTCGATATCTTTAATTGTCTCGATCATTACTTTGTTTTTAATGTGATTTACTGAGAGACAAAATTTATCTTCTAACTGAACAAGTCGTACGACATCATCTGGAATAGTTTTGTCAGTCAAATTGAAAAACCATTTGTCATTAATTTCAAATTTAAAAAGTTTTTCTTTAGATTGAAACGTTTGTGGTTCTACGTTAATATTGATCAAATTATTGTCATTTTTAAAAGGCTTTAAAGTAAATTCAAAATTTCTATGGAATTTCATTGTTTTTCTATTATTAGTCTTAACATTTTTAGTATATTTAACATGAAAATTGATAGATCTAACTTGTTTGATATTAAAAAGTTGATGAGAAAGAAATTTTTTGTTAAGAGCCTTGGATTTATAAGAAGAAAAATTGTACAATGAATTATGTTGTGTTTTGAAAAATTTGTTCAAAATGTTATAAGAAACTATCAGGGCCGGACTAACCGAATGTCCTGGCCTAGGCAAATGTTGGTGGGGGCCTATGTAAGGACATGATATTTTGAAAATT